CACCTGCTACTGTCACGATCATGTGTAACTTATGCTTATGGTCAACATCTTCCTCCGCTCTCTCACGCACATTATTTGGAGTATTTTCTGGAGTTGTCAACTCCACCTCAATTACATCAGTACGGCTATAATTTTCCTTTTATGCACCCTTCTGAATGTGCTTTAACATGACAGACTCATCAAATTTAACGTCACAACTGACAATAAACTTAAGCGATTTAGGATTTGGGTACCAAATTTTATAGCCCTTAATTCAATTCGCATAATCAAGGAAAATACACTTTTATGACCTTAGATTCAACTTATCATCCTTCACATAAACATAAGTAGGACAACAAAAAATTCTTAAATGAGAATAAGCAACAAGTTTACCTGACCATACCTCCTGTGCTATTTTGTAATTGATTGTTGTAGATGGTGACCTGTTGATGAGGTAACATGTCGTATTGACCGCTTCTACCCAAAAGTCCTTTGACAAACCAACACTACTCAACATGCTGCAGGTTTTCTTCAGAAGTGTCCTGTTCATGCACTTAGCAACTCCATTTTGTTGCGGCATCTTCAGAGTGGTGAAGTGACGAACAATTCCTTCGCTCTTGCAAAAACTACGCTAAAGTGTACTCTCCACCATTATCAGTCTTCAAGCACTTGACCTTCTTTCTAATCGATCTTTCGACCATAGCTTTTCAATGTTTGAATGTGTTAAACACGTCTGCCTTTTTCTTCAATGTGTAAATCCACACATTCTTTGATAAATCATCTACAAAGGAAATAAAGTATAGAGATCCACTTTTGAGACAACTGATGTAGGGCCCCAAATATCTGAATGTATATAGTCAAGAAGACCTTTTGTGGTATCAGATACATAAATTGATGCTCTATCTGTGATAGTATTCCTAAGAAGCATATATAAATTCGGTCTGATCTTCTTGCCTTTCATCACAACCAGAGCACCCTTAAGAATATTTAATACTCCACTTTTTCCAACAAATTTGCGGCAATTGAAGTCTAAGATACCCAAAGAAATACGATTCTTTTTCAAATATGGAACATGTCTAACATTAGTCAAGTTTCTCGCAACTCTATCATACATCATGATAGTAATTGTCCCAATACCAATGATCTTATAAGCTACATCATTCCCCATCAAAACTGATCCACCATCAATGCTCTTATATGTGGTGAACCAATCTCGATGAGAGCGCATATAATAGGAATATCCTGAATCAAGAACCCACGAGTCTTCAGATGTCACAATTTGTTGAGACCGACAACACATTATCTGTTCCACTTACTGAGCTTCCATCAACTATATTGGCTGCTTCAAAAGCTCATATTTCTTTCTCTTTGAGTTTCCAACAATCATTCTTAATATGCCATTTTTTCTTACAGTAGTTGCAATAAACATTACTGTTTCTTGATCTTGATTTAGATCTGGACTAGCCTTGTCTTTCATGCCTCTTTCCACTTCTCTTAACAGATCTTCCTCTAGCCACCAAACCATCTGCATATGGCAGAACGTTGTCCTGCATCTTTATCAAATCATTAAAGAGAAGAGTCGAAGTCACGTCCTCCATCTCTATAGTATCTTTTCCATAAAGCAATATTACGACTAGACACTTATACGAATGAGGGAGTGATGATAACAAAATTATTGTCTTATCCTCATCATCCATTTTAACACCAATATTCAATAATTCACAAATAATTTTATTAAAATAATTCAAGTGTTTATGGATATATGTACCTTCATTCCCCCGTAGGGTGTACAATTTTTACATTAAAAACAATTGATATGTGAGGGACTTCGTCATGTAAAAACTCTCAAGCTTTGACCAAATACTTGATGCCGAATTTTCATTGATGATATTAAATAGCACTTCACTTGATAAGCACAATCGAAGTTAGTGCTCATAACCCTTAGATCTAAGTCTTCTCAATTCTCGTCAGACATAGATTATGGTTTCTTCGATTTTCCTTTCAGAGCTTTATGTAAATCTTGTTGCACTAGCAAATCTCGAACATTGACTTGCCAAACTCCAAAATTATTTTTGCCATCAAATTTCTCTACTTCGAATTTTGCATTTGAAACTTTTACCACCATATCAACAACCCCAAATCGGGCTCTGATACCACTTATTTTTTGCGGAAGCTTTAAACCCAATGGGTTGATTTTTGGCAAATAAAGTACGAAAAAAATAATCGACAAAAAACAAGCAACAAACAACAAAAATAAAGCAAAAAATAAATAACAGAAATAACACACACCAGGATTTATGTGGTTCGTCACAGATGTGACTATATCCACGGGCGAAGACAATCGATGTTTTTCACTAAATCAAAGAAAAAAAATTACAAAACAACTTACTTGAGAGAACCAGAGACTCAATCTCTTACAAAGCCTTATTCTCTACAATTTTCTCTCTCTGCAAAAACCCCCAAAAAAGTTTCTCTATTTTTCTAAATTTTTTTCTCTCTCTAAATAACCCATTATATATAAAAAGCAAACCCCAATGTGGGGCTCTATCTTTTCCCATAAAGTTAGGAAACTTAACTTTATATCTATCTACTTGTGAACCTAAGGCTTCATTCTAATCTAAGTAGGACTTATCTATAAACTTAGATCCTAAATAATGGGCTCTATCCAAATAAATAGGAAACCTAAATTAATGGAAACCAATTCTTTAAAATTAAGGATTCAAGAAATCAAGGTAAATATCAACAGAAATAGCACCCCATTCGGGGTGCCATTTGAAACAACGCTCTAGTTCAGACCCAACTAAGAAAGCGCTATTCAAAGTGGCGCCCTTATTGTGTGCTATTCAAAATAGCTCCGCAACTCAAGCTTGTGCCAAAAAAAAAGGGAAAATCATTTAGCTAGAGAAATTGAAAATTCAATTAATATGACGGGATTCAAATCCTTGCATCAATAATTTACTACTGGCTTTCGGTTTTCAAGTATCGCAAAATCTTGACAGGACCCAAGGGTCATCATAAGCTCCATGATGGTTTGATTACCATGTGAAAAGCAATATAGTTGGTTTTCAAATACCCTAAAATCTTGAGGGGACTAGGGTCGTCATAAGCTCCAGGATGGTTTGGTTACCATATAAAAAGCATCATATTTGGTCTTCAAGCGCCACATCAGATTTCTTGAAGGGATTCAGAAGTCGTCATAACCTCCGAGGTGATACTTGGTCACCATACATCAAGCACCAAAACCAATTTTTATTCATTCAAAGGCCAAACGTACATTATCGTTTTCTTAGTCAAATTTTGAAATGTTTCGTTTATCTTCAAAAGTTTGGCATCATTTTATCTTTGTCATCAACTAGGCTCCACCTAACTAATGATAAAGATGGGCATTTGTAGAAACCCGACTTCCGAAGATATGCGTTAAGAACATGAGTTGCACCTACATCCACATTACTTCAAACTTCAATAAACACATATGTGTACCATGTAGAGATAAGATGCTATTTGAAATGGCGTCTCAATCAAGGCGCTACTTGAAGTTGCACACTAGCTCAAGGTGCACTTGAAGTTGCGCACTATTTTTCTGGCTTTCAAAGACCAGCGCATCAGCTCAGGGCGCCACTGGAAGTTGCGCACCATTTTTTTGGCTTCCAAAGACCACGTCGCAATTAGAAGTTGTGCTCCAGCTTAAGGCACTACTTGAAGTTGCACACTAGTTTTATGGCTTCCAAATACTAGGGCATAACTTGAAGTTGTGCACCAGTTTGTGCACCATGACACAACTTCAAGTCTTGCTTTATTTGCCTCCAACATGATCTTTGATGCATGTAGCATCACTCAAATATCATTTGTGATACGTATTTCAATTGTAGGGCCCATGTCCTATAATTTAACTAATGTATACAATTTTGTGTGCAAGTTCGAATAGCGCTCTTGTGCGCAGCTTCAAATTGCGCCTTCTTCTCCTATGGATGAGGCACGACTTCAAATTGCATATGTTTACCAGTCGCAGTACTCAATTTTACACCAATATATTCCTTCTTTTGCTTTTCGGTAGGTTTACTTAGAGACTGGTCCTCGACTAGTATCATGCCAGAAAGCTCGAGATAGAATTTTATGCAAGTACAACTAGCGCATCCAACACAATTAGTAAAAGGCATGTCATCACATTAGGGGTGGCAATCGGGTCAGATCGACTACGATGGTTGATTAGAACTAGTCAAGGTCTGGGGCAAGCCAGATTCGCACCCAAATTATTTGGACCAATCTCGGGTCTGGTTAGGCTTGGACCCTATCGAGTCAGGAATGGTTCAGGTTAGAGTCGACCGATCTGACCCGATGTGGAATAAGTTATAATATAAAAGTAAGCGTTTTATTTTTAATTTCTAGACCTGGGCATGAGTCCCCGGATTGGGCTAGGCATACGATCAAATAACTTGGATCAGACCAAGGTCGTACCGGATCTAGGTTCATGTGGAACCTAGTTGATTGAGTTTCGATCAGGGTCCATTAGGACCCGAACTGACCCGTTGCCACCCCTAATCACATAGTAAAAGAGGATGAAAAAAATCGATGCACTTACATTTTAAGTGCAGTCTAACTCGTTCAAACAACTTCTTTGAACGTTCAAGCGACTTGGCTAGAGATCAACTACCAATACCATTCAACTTCAATTCATGCGAGCCATCTCGAGAGAGGTGAGTTGGCTTGGAGAGAGGGGTAAAGTTGGCATGGAAAGAAAAAAAAGTTTATTCTCACCGTGTCAAATTAAATAAAAAAAATGAAAAAAAACGTGGAGGGAGAGTGTAACGGAAAAACGTTATAGTCATGATTAAAATATTAAAGGATCGAATCCGTCAACGACAGGCCACCACGGCCAGACGCCTGGCCCTTTGGCCCCTTCGAATCTCGACTCAGGCGAGTTTGTTTAGAAGAAAGGTAAAGATGTCTCTGTAAAGTCCCACATCGCCCATGTAGGAGAGGAGTACATGGACCTACAACTATAAGTATCAGGGGAAGTGGCAGGAGCACATTGCCTTAAACTAATGAGTAAGGAAAACAAAGCGAGCGGTGGGAGCCGGTTGCAGTGCCGATGATCTCCTCATCGAAAGGTGGGGGGAGGGTGCGCATGAATTTATGGAAGGGGAATAGGCTGGCCGGGTGTTGACGCTGCTTACTTTCGCAGAACTCACTCGCGCGGGCCTCCCACCCACCAATGCACAATCCCAAACGCTCGCTGAACTAAAAGCCTCCCTAGCCAGTAACTCAAAAACTTTCCTCTAAACTGAACCTCAAAAGCAATGAATCCCACGCCTCTCTCTCTCTTTCTCTCCAAACTGTCAAAAGCAATGAATCTCACGCTTCTCTCTCTCTCTCTCTCTCTCTCATGTCTCCTCTGTCTCTCTCTCTCATGTCCTCTATGTGTGAACACGCCCTGTTTCAAACTGCCGATAGCATGAGGTTCCTGAAAACCGACTTATCGGATGAACCCATTTTCATAGGATAAGACCTCTTTCTCTCTCTCTCTCTTTTCGTCAAACAGCAACGAAGATGCCTCCTCTCAAATCGCTCCAACACCAATTTCCTAGCATTGATTCCAATTTGCTCCATTTCTGCGCTTCTCATGGCATTTTCTCAGGTGAGATCTTCTCTTTTCACTGCTCCTTTTCTTTTCAAGCATGAACCAGAACTATAAGTAAATATCTATTAACATTTTGGATCATAGTAGTTCTATCATTTATGCAGATCGAGTGGTTCTCTTTTAGTTTTCATTGGAATGCAGTTTTGCTATGACGCTCTATGTTCCTGAACGCTTTTGAATTATTTCTCTCTCCCTCTTTGCCTGACATTTAAATTTGTTTAATAGTTGGTTATGTATGTATTTCGTTTTGATCATCTCTCATATTTGTTGATTTCCCACTTGGGTTTTGCGGAGTTTGAAAATTGTAGCCCACCTTTAGTAGTTCAATTGTTAGTTGTGCATTGAAAACTGGAGCGAAAATGAACTCAATCAATAGACAAATGAGTGGCACCCCCAGTTTCAATTAATAAACAATACTAAAAACTAACCTGACATGAGTGTCAAATGAAGAGCAGGTGAGAGCTTTGTTAAAGTTTGTGGCTTAATCTCAAATGCCTCATGAGCTTCTGTTTTCTTTATTTTCTTTTTGGTGCCTAGCGAGTTGGATGAAAGGAAAAATTAATTAGTTACGGTAAACGAATAGAAGAAATTTTTGAGTTTGATGGAGTGAAGCAGTGTTATGAAACATGAGAAATGATGATAATGAGCGCAATGTTAAATCGGGGAGATTCGAATCCCAGCTGTGACGTGCAATGTGCATGATCACTATCCAAAAAGCATTCCTGCAACCAAAGTTTCAAAAAGCACTAGGCTGTACCTAGGCGGCCATGGGGGTCCAGGCCGCTCAGAGTCTAGGCGGCCGCCTATGCTGGCACCCAGAACCTGGGCGGCCCAGTTGAAAAAAGAAAACGAAAAAAAGATAGTTTGATTCTAATAATCTATAAGAATTTTGATAATCCATAAGACCATAATCAATAAGAATTTTGATAATCTATAAGACCATAATCCCAGTTGAAAAAAAGAAGATAGAAGTCGAGAAGGGAATTTTGATAATCCATAAGACCATAATTCATATTTTCATACAATGCTAAAAGCCTAAATCAGTAAAACCATACAAGCATACACTGATAGTCTGATACACTGTAGACTGTACACACAAAAGTTAGATAGTAGAACAAGAAACTAGAAAGTAGAAACTAAAAATAAGAAAGAAAATATATAGAAATTCAGAAAATATACAGACTACAGTCTAGGACACAATAGTCAACACTCAATAGTCAACACTCAATAGTCAACACTCAACACCAAGAGTTTTCAGTCATCATCATCATCAGAAAGAATAGGATAAACCTCATCATATGCATCAGATTCGAGGTCATCATCATCAGAGTCATCTCCCTCTTCAATATAATGCTCATCCTCCTCTGTTTTTTCTGAATTTGCATCTTCCTTTTCCTCTTCTTCTACCTCCGTCTTACTAGTTTGTGAGATGAGGCCCTAGGAGTCTTGGCAGCTCTACCCTTTTTTATCTTTTTGTGCTTCCCTGAACTCAAATCTTGTATAATCTCCTCCTTGGTAGCCTCAAGAACATTTTTACACGGGGCAACATCCCCCTTAATACCGTCAAAGTGTTTTTTAAATCTGTAAATGCCCAATTAATATCCTTTCCACAAATTACATTTAATACCATATTTGTCATTCGCATTCGGGTTATAACCTTACTTCCAAACCAAATCACCACTTCTAGAAGAACCTGAAGAGGATCTTTCTATAGAACAAGGCTCATTTTCATCATTTTCTGGTTATTTTAAATTCAGAAATTGTCTAATCTCATCCTGAATAGCTTCAATAACCTTTTTACAAGAAGGAACATTCCTTTTAATACCAGTAAGATGTTTCTTGAATCGGTTAATACCCCCATTGGTATCTTTTTCACAAAAATTATACCTTATATAATTTTTATAGTTTGGTTTTCGGTTATAACCATACTTCCAACCTGGATCACTTCTTTTAGAAGAAGCAGAAATAAATCTATTCAAATGACAAGGATTTTATTCATGTTTTTGTTTTACAGAACTCATATATTGCTTAATCTCCTCTTTGATAGCTTCAGGAACATTTTTACAAGGGACAACATCCCCCTTAATATCGGCAAGAAGTTCTTAAACTGGTTTATACGCTTTTTGTATATTTTTTACAATAATTGCATCTAATGCAATTTTTGTCATTTGGATTCGGGTTATATCCATATTTCCAATTCGGATCTCCATTTCGAGTAGATCCTGAAGAAGATATCTCAAAAGAAAGCAAGTAATCTAAAAAATAAAGT